AAATTTTTCTTACAGCTCTTTTATTATCATTTGTGGTTTTCTTTTTTTGATTGTAAAAATTTTAGCAATGCAAAACTAAAACAAACATGTTTAATGTTCTCGAAGAAAAAAAAAAAAAAACAAGTTCAATGAATTATTCACTATTAGTTTTAAAATTTTGTATCTAATAATTAAGTAATTATTTTTAATTTTTAATTTTGATTTCTTGTAAAGCTTAGTACAAATTTAAAACTTTAAATTTTGTTTATTAGTTTTGTATTGTGTTTCTGAGGTCCTTATCGCTAGAGGATTGGCGTCGACGTCTATATATGCTTAAACTCACTGTCGTTTTTGTCTAAAAATTTAATCGACATTCCCAAGCTTTTGAAATATGAAAGATAGCATCTTTGATACTAATAATTAATCTAATTTAAAGAATTTAATTTGTCAAAACATGTGAATTAGTTTTCTCTTCTCCTTGTTTTCAAACTGTGGCTTTGTTGGCATAAAATTAAAAATGGAAAAGAAAAGGTTAAAACTAAGTCCGGAATTTTGGTGTATCGATTTTTTGAAAAAATGTTAAGATAAGTATATAAAATTTGTTATTTTTAATTTAAAAATATAAACTTTTCAAAACTTAGGTACTAAAGTTTTATTTTTTAAAATAATAATATGAATTTTACGATTTTTTTATTTAAGGTTTTGTTTGATGGCAATAATGATATGATAAATGATAATTTTAATCAAAATTAGATAAAATTTATATTCTTAAATTTAAAAAATTATCATCTAATTTAAAATTTTTAAAAATTTATATCTTTAAATAAAATATATAACAAAATTTGTATACTTATCTCAACTTTTTCTCATGTATTTCAAGCTAAAATTTTAAAGTATTACAAATAACGTCAACCACTGACTTGTGCAAGTGGTCATTTCTACTCTCTGAAAAATTGTAGGCATTATTTCACCTTAGAAATGATGGAGAGATAATTTTTTAAAATAATTTTTTATATAATTTTTATATATTATTAAATAAATAGATGTATTAAATATCATAAATTTTAAATAAATAAAAAAATTAATTATTTAAAAAATATATAAAGTTATACAAAAAATTTATTCTTAAATCATTTTTCTTCAACTTTGACTTTTGAGCTCAAAAACATTTTTGAATATTCTGAGGGGTGGATGATTATGTTCCAAGCGGTTTTTTTTTTTTTCTTTAAAATTTCGAAAGATAACTTGAAATTTTTATATAATATTTTAAAAAATGAGTCGCATAACTTTTGATGTTAGAAGTTAAACTATTTTAATTTATGTGACTATAAATTTAGGTATTTAAAGAAAAAATATGAATTTATAAGAAATTTATTGATCATGTTGAAAATTTTACACTTTGATCATTTATAAGTGTCCACGTGTGTGAGATTTACTTTTGTTTGTTTAATTCACATCAAATGCATGCAAGAGAAGTGAATAGATGAAAAAGGATTGCTTTCGATTCCGAATGTGCAAAATCCAAAATCAGAAAATAAAGAAAAGAGTCGTTTAGTTTGTCTGTCTTGCCAATCACTGAGCCTACGTGGCTCCGTGAGGCCCACTATTACGGTGGCCTCCACTTGTAAAAGGCCCAAAAAGTATATCCCCATGTGGGGTGAGCATTGGGTCGAGATCCTCCTGTTATTTGTAAGTCTCTTACTTATTTGAATAACTATTATAATTGAATTATAAAAGTAAAAATTAAATAAGTAATGTATATAAAAATATTAAGTTAACTAATAAAAATAGGAGTTTATAATTATTTACTTAACTTATTTAATCAATTTATTTAATTTACCTATTATTTGTATTTATGTAATTGCAATTTTATATATGTTTATTTTTATATTTAATATTTATATAATAAATTAAAAATAACAATTTTTAAAAATAAAAGTAAAATATGGCTTGTAAACCAAATAAATTAGATAGGAAATAATAGCACCTCTCAAATAAATAATAAATTTTAAATCAAGCATATAATATACATAGAAATAACAATTTGTGTAAAAACTTTTTTTAAGTCAAATATACAAGTATATATCTATAAATTGTCTAATACCATATTAGATAAAACATTTAATATAAATTTTAAATATTTAGATAAATATTAAATATAAAAATCGCAGTAATTAAAAATTTTCAAATTATGTAACAAATATTACTCAAACCCTATCCTGTAGTCATGCGTACGAATCTTAGCCCGCGTAAAAGAACCAACAAAATTAGATCAGCTTCGGCGGAGAAGAAGTAACAAAATTAGATCCGCTTCCTCTAAAACCTGAAAATCACCAGAAGCATTTTGACGTTTCGGGAATATTGACGAGCTAAAATCATTCTATCGAATATATTAATAGTTTGAAAGGTATGGATTTTATCATAATCAATTAATATAAAATTTAAATTAATATATTTTTTAAATTAATTTATTGAATGTTATCGCATGTAATGATTAGTTCATTTAAATTAATTAATTAATATTTTTAAATCAAGTTAACTTTTCACTTATATATTAAATTAGTTATATTTATATATAATTTAAAATAAACTAATAAATATTAAATTTTATAAAAATCTCTAATTTAAAAATGAAGAGCTTTTAACTTCGTTTTCTTTCTCCACTACTACATGAAACTCTAATTACTTTTTAATTTCATAATCTAATATACGATTTATATTATTATTGATCTAATTTACATAATTTTTTTTAAAATTTATATATAAATCACTAAATCAATTAAAAAATGATTAAGTTTTTATTTGATTAAGTTCAAAAATTAACTTTAATTAAAAATATAAAAATTACAAAATCTATATTAAATTAATTATGTTATATCATAACTTTAATATAATAAATTAATTCATAATAAAAATAATAAGATCTGAAATTATAATTATAAACATTCAAATAATCAAACAATAAATGAAAAGAATTAAAATAAAAATAAAATTTAATTTAAGAAAGTTAAATTTTTTTTTTATCTTATATTATTGATAAATTCTTCATTTTTATCTCTTCAAACCTCTCTTAATTCTAAAATTAAATGAATATTTATAAGATTTTATAAAACTTAATTAAAATAAAAGTGGAATTCACATCAAAATAATAAGTTAAGCATGAATTTCCTGAGAATCGCATAAGGGTCAATACCTGCGACTAGGGATCGACACCTTCTGTTAAGCACAAACGGAAATCACCAAGTCGGGTTTTTGGCCTTCTAGCAATTGCTGTTAATGATAAAATAACAGTTTTAGTCCCAAACTTTTGAACTCCGCACAACTTAATCCTCATATTTTTTGTCTTTGTAATTTATTATTGAAAATTATGTTTTATTCCAATTAAATCGTTTTTTACACAAAAACAAAAATAGAAATGATGTAAAATTAAATAAAATCTACTCATCCAAATATCGATGATATTAGACAAACTTTCTCCATTAATGTCTATATAAATTCATCTCATCAAATATTTTGATGCAGTGAGAGCATTGAACTCAATCTTCCAACAATGGGACACACAGGCACCGCCGAATTCCTGGAATATCAGCGGCGAACCATGCACCGGAACTGCTCGTCACCCAAACACGACCGTTGTCACTGGTCCTGCCAACGATCTGGCCATCGCATGTAATTGCTTCTTCAACAATGCTACTACCTGCCACATCACCAGACTGTACTCTCTCTGTCTCATGCTGCTCCGGCGAACGCATTAACTTCTGTTCGACCTTTTGACCGGTTGCGTAGTTGCACTCTAACCGTTTGTTCATTTTCCCAGGAGAGTGGCTGCACAGAACATACAAGGGGTGATGCCGGAGGAGCTTTTGGCTTTCAAATTCTTAATCTCTCTGTATGGTTTCTCTTCTTCTTTTGCTTGTAGAAAATGACATTTTATCATTTTTCTGGAGAGTTTTTAAGAGTACTAAATTGTTCATTATTTGATGATGCAGGGAACTCCCGCTAAATTACCTCACCGGTCCCTTGCCGGCATGGATTGGGAATTTATCTACATTGCAGCAGTTGTAAGCATGGAATCTGGTGGTCTTATGAAAGCATTTTATTTTACTTTAATAAATAGCATTTATCAAAAACTTTTGAAATTTCCATGCCTAGTTTTTCTGACTTTTGGCTCTAGTCGTTAAATGTCTTTCCCGTCGAGAATACATGTATCAACCTGCTAATTACATCTTGCTTACTTTATAATAAAAGAGGCATTGACCCTTGATTACGAAGGTAAATCACTGAAGTGCTAAAGATCTTCAACACCGTGAAGCAAAGCACTGTGTGTTTACTTCAGTGTCTCATTTTATATACCAGCATTAGAAACCATCATTTACACTGATTACTATCAATACATCTCACTTATTATCTGATTATGGTGATCATGCTTATTCCGTAGGTAAAACTCATTGACTTTGGTCTGTTATTGTTGCTAATTCTTATTTGAGAAGCCACTAGTAATTTTTTGGGTCATGTTTTTTATGTCAAGGAATATTGCTGCCAATGCATTCTCTGGGTCCATTCCTACGGAGCTTGGAAATCTCAAGGAGCTAACTGCGCTGTAAGACTAAGAAATTCTACTTTGTCATCATACATCAATTTTTTTTTTTTTAATTCTTTTATAGTAATGCATCCAACAGTTCTGTTCTACCACACACATTTAACCTCTAAGTTACATTATGCACAAGTTTGGTTCTTGGTTATTATGAAAGTGCCTTTCTTATAAAATGAAAAATCAATTGAATATTATGTTGAGAGGATCTGAAAGTCTAGAGAGAATTTGTTTTTGAGGGGTGATCATGGAATTGGAATGGGAGACAGCCACAACTCTAATATGTAAAATTAATTGTTGATATGGCAGTGCTTACTAATTGACGTAACATCCTTTCACAATAATAACTATAATTTTGAATTCCAACATACATTGAATTGATGAATTCCAGAAGGGAAGATAAATAACTTCAGGTATTCAAAATTGGTATCAGTTTCAACTACCATTGATAGAAATGCAAGGGATTGTAGATAATTTGAGTGATTTGGGTCTTTTTATGATTTTAATGTAATCTTCCTATGAATGGTTTCCAAGAGGTCCTGAGGTACTCACATTAGTGATGCAATATGGTAGTCAGGTAACTAGAAGATTCATGGAACTGATTGAGACAGAATCTGTGTGGCTCTTCTGAAAAGCTTAGGACATTTTATGTTGATTAAATTTCGCATGAAACCCTCACAACATTCCTCCTTTTGAGAGTTGAGAGGCCAGCAAAATCTCTCAAAAGATTTTTAATCTTTTCACTTAATTTTGATATTGAGAAGTGCAATCCCTGTGATAGGTTCAAATAAAACCCCATGTCAATTTTATATTTTATTTGAATTCTTTCATGCAGATTCCTTGTTGTTAATAATTTCTCTGGAACACTCCCACCAGAACTTGGTAATTTAGTCAAACTTGAACAACTGTGAGTTATAACTTTCTTCTAGTTCTTTGTAGCTCAATAAGTTTGTGCAGTAACAGGCATATCACCAGAGACTAAATAGTTTTGGTTTATCAATGTATAGTTTCATTGACAGCTGTGGAGTTGGTGGTGAAATTCCCTCAACATTTGCTTACCTTCTAAACATGCGAGTCATGTAGGAAAGTCCCTGGGATCATAAGCTGTATTTATTTGTCTGCTTATGTTTTTGGAAAATCTCAAAATCATCTTCTGTTGCCCTGTCAATAATGGAGATATTTTTGGATTCTAGGTCGGCATCAGACAATCCTTTCACAGGGAAGATACCTGATTTCATTGGCAACTGGACAAAACTTACAGCATTGTAAGTTACAAATTCTCCTTATACAATTTTTAAAGGCATTCTTTTTTAATTTGTTTTGCCTCATTTCTTCAACAGTGAGATATATCTAGTTTGTTCTTTCTTGATTAGCCTGCGAAATATTTCTGTAGGAGACTTGAAGGGGACTCCTTTGAAGGTCCTATACCATCCAGTTTTTCTAAATTAACCTATCTAAATTCCCTGTAAGTAACTATTCACTTACCATTTACTCTCTCTTTGCATGCATGATTCTGAAAGGATGTATAATGGCTAACTTCTTCAATTCTTATCTATAATCATGCAGGCGAATCATTGGTTTATCCAATGTGAGCTCTTCTCTCGATTTCATTAGAAATTTAAAGAGGTTAACTGAATTGTAAGTAAAAACTCTTTAATCATGTACAGAAACCTGCATCTTCTTTTGTCTTTGTTGTGTTTGTTTTTTTAGTTAATTGACTAACGAACTTTACTCTTTTCTGTTGTTCTTTATTTTCCTGTAGAATTTTAAGAAATGCATTAATTACTGGTAGTATTCCATCTGATATTGGAGAACTCCAGTATTTACAAAATCTGTAAGATATGTTCACACTTTCCTGATGAATTTGTTGTCTATGAAATTTGCTTCCATTTCCTATATTAATTTAATTCCTCTTTCTTTACCAGGGATTTGAGTTTCAATAACTTGACTGGCCAAATTCCAAGTGCTTTGTTCACCATAAATTCTCTTACATACTTGTAAAGTCATAGAAGATGCTTCAAAATCTTGGTTTATGTCAAGTTCATCCTTTTAGTTTTTTTTTTTTTTTTGTCAACTTAATGCCATTAACCTGATGTTATTAACCATCAAAAGAAAAAAAATTGACTGTATTATATACTGTCAATGTCCAGGTTTCTTGGAAATAATAGTCTGTCTGGTACCATCCCTAGCCAAAAGAGTGAAAACCTAATAAATATGTAAGCCATGACATTCTGAGCATTCTCTTTATTTGAATCAATAGCTTCTGCTAACTTTCTACTATTGTACTTTGACTACTTTCTCATGCAGAGATTTATCTTACAATTTTCTGTCTGGAAGCTTTCCCTCATCGGTGAACACAATCTCACAACTGTATGTAGCTTGAGCTTATTTTTCTTTTAATTGATGTCACATTATTAATGCAATAGGAATGAAAGAAAAAAGTTCAAGATCTACCCCAGCCATCTCCATTAAACCCTTGTCAAGGCCAATGATCTAGTTTTATTCTCATTTTGGTACCTAACTAGCGCTGATGATCAAAATTCCAATGCTCAACTAAAAGTCCTCTGGAAATCTTTTTGGTTATCAAGAACCATGATAGTAGTGTAGTACACACCTATGTATATCATTTCTAGAAAAAGTATCCATCACTTTAAATTCATGAATATCTAGATTGTCTCAACTGCTATGACAGATGTTCATTTGTGTTGTTGCTTTGTATCCTGTAGGAATCTAGTAGCCAACAACTTCACATTTGACAAGTCAAACATAAGGTGAGTTGTAGTTCTTAAATATCTGTCTGAGTTTTACTTGTCTAAGTTTCACTCTTCTATCCACCTTAATCTAAAGGCATAAGAAAATTGGTTGCAATTTTTTCCACAATGGAAGGCATTTTTTTATAATTTATAGCCCTAATAAGAAATAACTATTTTATTTATTTTCAGTCTTTTTCCAGGATTGAATTGCCTTCAAAGAAGCTTCCCATGCAACAGGAACCCTCCACTATGTAAGCTTCTTTTGCTGCATTGCCTTGAGATAGTTTGTACCTGGCATTATGCTGTAATCACTGAAAGAAACTTCATGTAGTGGGGAAAAGGCATAGACAATTGTATTTTAGAGTGTTCTTGGACTCTCATCAATGACAAATTATCCATTCCTTACTTTCCTAGTATCAATAAGTCTGAGGTTGGCCAATTGAAATATGCATGCATCAATGGCAATTGTAAAGAGACATTAAGTTTGTTCTGCTAGAACTTGAAAGGAGTCAAAATTTACTTCTTGTTTTTAATCTGTTATAAAGTGATGACCTCAGTAACCTACTGGTGAAATTCTGTTGCTGGAATTTTAATTATTGTTCTTGAGTAACTTGCCAAGCATACTAAAATATTCATGTTGGCAGATGCAAACTTTGCAATCAATTGTGGCGGGCCAGAGATGACTGCTGATGGGATGACATACGAAGCTGAAGACTCTTCTCTTAGCATAGCATCATTTAATGTAATTGATACCGAGAAATGGGCAGTTAGTAACGTGGGTTCGATTTCTGGTGGAAATTTTAACGGCTATAGGGAAAATAGCTTGGAACCAGTGAGAAACACAAACTCGCCGGAGCTTTATCAGACTTCAAGGATATCTGATGGATCACTAAGATACTATGGCTTAGGCCTAGAGAATGGGCCTTATACAATTAACTTGCTTTTTGCAGAAACAGCTCTCAGAGATCGAAGCAAACATACTTGGAAGAGTCTGGGAAGGCGAGTTTTTGATATTTATATTCAGGTAAATTTTCCATAAGAATTGTAAACCATTTTCCAGATTGCATTTATGGATCATTTTATTCAAGTCCTCAATGTAACAAATGTTTCTAAAATTTCAAAATTTCAAGCTTAAGTCTTACATTTTCAGGTTTTAATAATAATCAACTGTTCCCAGGGAACCATTGTATTGAAGGATTTTGACATATCAAATGAGGCAGGTGGGGTTGACAGAGCAATCACCAAGAATTTCATTGCTACTGTATCAGAAAACCATCTTGAAATTCACCTATTATGGTCTGGTAAAGGAACTTGCTACATGCCACAAGAAGGTTACTGTGGACCATCCATTTCAGCAATCAGCGTGGTATCAAGTAAAAAATGAGATGACATAAGAATCTTTGTTTAAAATCTTAAGTCATTCATATCTCTTTTGCCACTGCTAATGCCTAAAACCTTTTGATCAGATTTCCCACATACAGCAAAAGAGAATAGGACTAGGTTGATTGCTGGTGCTGCGGTTCCTGTTGGGGTTGTCACCTTCACATTGATATTGATATTTGTAGTCTTCTACATGAGAAGGAGAAAAGACGATGATGGGGAAGGTAAGAGTCTTAAAAAGAGATAGTAGTAGTTAATTAGTTATGATATTATTATTGTCATTATTATTTTGGTATTAAACCTTCTGTATCTGGAATCCACATTGGGTCCTAACTAATCTGGAGTCAAGTTGGACCCTATAAGGGGAGCTCTCCTAGCGCCTGTTTCTCCATTTAGAAGAACAGGTCATTGGTTAGTCATGATATTATTTGTAACACTGATTCATGTTAATATACCATTGGTGGATCTGGCCTCATTGCTGCTGAGTGAAGTTCTAGGCTCCCCAAACCAAGTTCTAGGTTAAGCTCTTACTGATCTTTACCCATGATTATTTTCTTCTTTATTACAATGGTCTATAGATGTGTTTATAAAGGAAGAGATATTCTAGTAGTACTTTTGGAAGGTTGGCTAAGAGGATTGATCTCCCTTGATGGAGCAAGAAACTGATTTTTTTTTTCTCCTACTTCTTTGACAATGTCGTTGCTCTATCTTGTGGCGATGCCTCCACATGCAACCAATATTCCAAGTGCTCAAAGGAACAAATTTTATATGTTGGAAGTAAACTTGAATTTTATGACTTGTTGATTTCTGGTTTTGTTCTCCCATATATTATAATATATCTTGAGGCTTCTGGTATAAACTCTGCTCTTATTTTTTTTACTCATCAATTTTCTGATTAATTATATGAAAAGGACGAAAAAAAAAGAAATTGAAATTTTACATTCGCCCATGGCCCATGGCCATGGCCTTTAAACTTGAGATGCACAATCCTAGGACCAGTGTTTGTAAAATTTAAACATTATTTAATTATCTCCTATTTCATCAGTAGATTTTATTCCAACTTCTCTTAAATTTGTAGAGCTTCTTGGAATAGGACCCAGACCAAACACCTTCAGTTATGCCGAGTTGAGAGCTGCAACAGATGACTTCAGTCCCTCAAATAAGTTAGGAGAAGGGGGATTTGGTCCGGTATACAAGGTAAGCTATTGGCTTAAAATCTTAAATCTGTTTTTAATAAGATAGAAGATTCATATGACAATGTCACTTAAAAAAGAACATTATAGGGTAAACTTTCTCATGGGCGGGTGGTAGCTGTGAAGCAGCTTTCAGTAGCATCTCACCAAGGGACAAGTCAATTTGTTACTGAGATTGCCACCATATCTGCAGTGCAGCATCGCAACCTTGTTAAACTGTACGGATGCTGCATCGAAGGAAACAGACGCCTCCTTGTTTATGAGTATCTTGAGAACAAAAGCCTTGACCAAGCACTCTTTGGTACGACTGAACAAGTTATTTGCTCCCCTTTAGCCTTTATGCAGGAAAATGAAACATATTTGCATCTAAATTCATTTCCTGCATAACATTTCCTGCCTCACACATGCAGGAAATAAAGACTTGCATCTTGATTGGCCAACCCGCTTCAGTGTCTGCCTGGCAACTGCTAGGGGACTAGCTTATCTTCATGAGGAATCAAGGCCGAGGATCATACACAGAGACGTGAAGACAAGTAACATTTTGCTTGATTCTGAGCTCTGTCCGAAAATATCTGACTTTGGATTGGCAAAGCTATATGATGACAAGAAAACTCACATCAGCACCCGGGTTGCAGGAACCATGTAAGCTCCTTGAATCACTATATCAAAAGAATATCTTATTGTTTGCATTATATTGTAGCTTGTATCTATTATTAGGTTTCATAGCATCAAACCATCAATGAACTCCAGAGACTTAGTATCATAAATAGAGAAATCATCTCAATAAACCTTCACCCAGCAAATTTAATTGCTTAATTGCAATGTTGGCAGTGGCTATTTGGCACCAGAGTATGCAATGCGTGGCCACCTCACCGAGAAGGCAGATGTCTTTGGCTTTGGTGTTGTTGCTTTGGAAATCCTTAGTGGAAGACCAAACTCTGACAACAGCCAGGACAATGACAAGATCTATCTTCTTGAATGGGTAAAGAAAGAACTTTTTTCCTTTTTTCCTTCTTTACAGACATATTCCTTGGGCATGACATTTACTTATACAACATTTCTAGGCATGGACCCTGTATGAAAGCAACCAGAGTCTAGGTCTGGTGGATCCAACCCTAGTTGAGTTTGATGAAAATGAAGCTTTAAGAATGATGAGAGTGGGACTCCTGTGCACCCAGGCATCACCAATGATGCGACCACCCATGTCAAGGGTTGTTGCTATGCTTGCTGGGTATATCGAAGTGAGCCCTGTTGCATCAAAACCAAGTTATTTGACTGACTGGGATTTTAAGGACATAACAGCCAGCTTTGAAGCTGAACACTCAGCATCTACTGGATCTGAGCGTGGTGATAACGAGAACAGCAACAATCTTAATCCAGAGAGAGCTGGTGGCTTCTCCATTGAATATCACTGAATTCAGTGACCTTATCGGGGAAGGAAGGTGACACATGTTGTTCCTTAAAAGCTCCATTTTGCTACTTCTCTTGCTTCTACCTCTGCCACATACTTTCCAGCTATATAAAGTAGATACTGAAATTGTGTGAATTTCTATCATTCATACCATTTGTACGTTGATCATTTGTGTGTGTAAATTGAATGAGACGTTGAAATATTGGCATGCAATAAGGTTGCAGTGTTTGTAACTTATGGATGTCGTTTCTATCATGTTGTAATATACTTCAAAGCTAGAGAATTGTTTGCAATTCTATTTTTGTTCTTTTTTTCAATTTAGGTTGGATGATGAATTATAAAACAAGAAATAGCCCTCTTTTCTAAACCCTCTTCAGCCGGTAGTTTCATATAACTTAATTACACTTTTTGTCTTGGGTTTTTCTTTTTTCTTTTTGTTTTTATAAAAAATTAATATAATAGTTATAACATCACCTAAAATTATAAGTCATGACATAATATTAAATGTATGTTATATATCTTTATATTAGTGAATGTATATAATATTATAAATGAATTTTTGAGTAAAATAAATTAATTATATAATAAAAAATTATATTATAAAATTATAATACCATATAATACTATACTTATAGGTTTTTTTTTTTTTATTATTTAAACACTTTTATCGTGATTTCGCATATTTTTTTGGCCAAACATTCGGTGCCCTTCTGTTTGTGGGCTCTTTTTTCTTTTTTTGTACTAATACTTTTTCTTGAACAAGTATAAATTTGGAAAAAAAAAATTGAAACTTATACCTAAAACTAAAAGTGTACTCTTTACAAAAATTTATAGTTAATGAGTCTTCTAGGCTAAATACCTTTTTACTAATACTTAACAATTGTTGAATGCAATTTTAACTTTTACTTTAATTTCACATTTTATCTTTATAAAAATATAATATTCACTTAAATTTCAACAATAATTAAGTAAGAATAAATGCATATAAATTTGGGGAAAAAATAAATAAAATATTAGTTTTTTTCTCTCTCTCAAAAGAGAACAAGAGAAATGCCTGCTCAATTTTAAGCCCGTCTTATCTGTTGTGTAAAGAATTGATGAAATGCACCGTTTCAAATTGTCTAGCATTCTTCGAAACATAAGTGAGTCTTGAGCTGAGTCCCTCGCAGTGTCAACAACATGCCTCTGTAAAGACCGGACACTGAGCAATGTGCCTCTGATGCTCCTGCTGGAGGTGGTGGAGTGGCACTTAGTGAAGGTGGACTGGTGGAGATGTGGCTTCCGATCAAGAGCTAGAGCTGCAACATTAGATGGAGCTAAGGGCTGAAAAGAGGAAGCTCAGTGATTGCCTCTAACTGGATTTTCTGAGTAGTGTATTGATTTGCCACTCAATAAAATTTTACATATCATTGGATTTTCTGAGTATGTAGGAGTCTATGCTAGGGAGGAACTGGTGTGTATAGGAGTAATTCTTTTTTGCATATGCTCCTGATAAGTAGCAGAGATAGCTTTGAGTTTTTGCATTGTAGAAGAACTAATGTTAATGCACCGAGAAATATACTTCATTGATATGTGTAAATAGAGGAGTGTTTTCCTTTCCCTTGCTAATTATATGACTCGGACAGTAAAATATGAATTGAATCATTTGATAGGAATATCATCGATATTAAGAATTTCACCAAACCATCAAATTATTTAAATTTTATAGTTCGGATTGCATAATTCTTTTCTTTGCCTATGAAATATAATTTAAATTTATGGAAGAGTTCTTTGCATTTAGTTTGGTATAGTACGAACATCTACCCCTAATATTAGGCAAATTAATTAATAATTTATTTTATACATTTTAAATTGCATAATATTTTTTTTTAAAGCTTTCATAACTTTTACTTTGATTTCAACTTTTCCCAAAACAGCTATGGGTAAGATATTATTGAATGTTACTACTTTAATTTGTTTATATTGGCATATTGGTTAGTTTCCTGGCATTTGTATTTGTAATTTTATATTTATAAATTCGGTTTTTGGGAGTTTTGATGCTTGCAGAGTATATTTAAAGGGATGTGATGTAACATTTATGAGTCCTTGTTGTTAGGGGGATAGATCCCGTCTATCATTTTGGACGTATTGCCTTGGGCACTAGGATCAGCTCAAGTGGTACCAGGAGTCACTTGCAAAGTCTCTTAAGGGAGACCCAAGGTTCGATCCTTGGGAAGGCTTCCTAAGAAAACAAATAAACAATAGGCCCTAACGTCTAAGGCAATACGTCCAAAGCAATAAGCGGGATCCGTCTCCCTAACATAAAGACTGGCCTTTTTGTTAGGGGGACAGATCTCGTCTATCACTTTGAGCATATTGCCTTCGGCTCAAGTGGTATCAAGGGTCATTCACAAAATCTCTTAAGGGAGATCCGAGGTTCAACTCTTAGGGAGGCCTCCCCTCGGGAAACAAATAAACAATAGACCCTAACGCCTAAGGCAATAGGCCCAAAGCGATAGGCGGAATCTGTTCTCCTAACACTTGTCACTTTAAGATGGTTGCAAAGAGTAAACCTCCTGAAAGTGAAAGTCATAAAAATCATTAAAGTGCTAAAGATCTTCAACTCTGAGAAGCAAAGCACTTTGTGTTTACTTCAGTGTCTCATTTTATATACCAGCATTAAAAACCATCATTTACACTGATTACCATCAATACATCTCACTTATTTTCTCATTATGGTCATCATGCTTATTCCGTAAATAAAACTCATTGACTTTGGTCTGTTATTTTTGCTAATTCTTATTTGAGAAGCCACTAGTAATTTTTTGGGCTATGTTTTTTATATCAAGGACTATTCATGCCAATGCATTCTATGGGCCCATTCCTAAGGAGCTTGGAAATCTTAAGGAGTTAACTCATGTGTAAGACTTGAAGAAATTCTACTTTGTCATAATGCATCAATTTTTTTAAACTCTTTGTTATCTGCCATTGTAATGCATCAAACGGTTCTGTTCTACCACACACAGGTAGCCTCTATGTTACATTGTGCACAAGTTTGGTTCTTGGTTATTATGAAAGTGCCTTTCTTATAAAATGAAAAATCAATTCAATATTATGTTGAGATGATTTGAAAGTCTAGAGAGAATTTGTTTTTGAGGGGTGATGGTGGAACCGGAAGGGGAGACAACCACAACTCTAATATGTAAAATTAATTGTTGATATGGCAGTGCCTACTAGTTGATGTAACATCCTTTCACAATAATAACTATACTTCTGAATTCGATATACATTGTATTGATGAATTTCAGAAGGGATGATAAATAACTTCATGTATTAAAATGGGAATCAATTTCAACTACTTTTGATAGAAATGTGAGGGATTGTAGATAATTTGAGTGACTTGGGTCTTTTCATGATTTTAATATAATCTTCCTATCAGTGGTTTCCAAGAGGTCCTAAGGTACTCATATTGTTTTATGTCTGATGTGAAGTAGTGATGCAATATGGTAGTCAAGTCACTAGAAGATTTATGGCACTGATTGAGACAGAATCTGTGTGGCTCTTCTCAAAAGCTTAGGACATTTTATGTTGATTAAATTTCACATGAAACCCTCACAACATACTGTAAGGGCAGCCACACGAGACAAGACAAGGTGCAGAGCTCAGAGCTAACCACACCTCGGCTGCAGAGCTCAGAGCTAACCGCACCTCGGCACTTCGCCGTGGGTGTATGACAGCCACAATAGGCACACCCTCATCTGATCATTTGTCTGTACCAGAACACCCCTTCTCAAGGAACCTGCTCCGTCAGAGCGCACCACGCGCATTTAATGCGGTTGCTCCGTTAAGGCACGTTACACTCACCTAAAACGTCTACTCCATCAGGCGCACCATGTCACCATTATTGGATTGACTAGGCCACGTGGGTATGGACGAGCCACGTGGGTGCCTTGCCAAGCGGGACAAAGCCTACAAGGTAAGACTCGATAAATAGGCGGAAGAAGAGAAGGAAGAAAAATCAGAAAAATACTAACTTAAGCATCGGAGTTTCTCCCCGAGGACAAACCTCGGGATTTTGCAGGACCATTTGAAGAAGAATCGACTCGAAGTAGGAACTCAAGGATATTCAGCAACAACAGAATCGACTCGAAGCAGGAACTCAAGGATATTCAGCAACAACACATTCCTCCTTTTTAGAGTTGAGAGACCAGCAAAATCTCTCGAAAGACTTTTAATCTTCACTTACCTTTGATATTGAGAACTACAATCCCTGTGATAGGTTTAAATAAAACCCCATGTCAATTTTAATGGTTTCTCTTTCTCCATAAAAATATTTTATTTGAAGTCTTTCATGCTCAGAGCCTTTAGTTTTAATAATTTCTCTAGAACACTCCCACCAGAACTTGGAAATTTAGTCAAACTTAAAAATTTGTGAGTTATAATTTTCTTTTAGTTCCTTGTGGGCTCAATAAGTTTGTGCAGTAAGAAGCATCTCATCGAAGGCTAAATAGTTTTGGTTTATGAATGTACAGTTACATTGACAGCTGTGGAGTTGGTCGTGAAATTCCCTCAACATTTGCTAACCTTCTAAACATGCGAGTCATGTAAGAAAGTCTCTGGGATCTTAAGCTGTATTTATTTGTTTGCTTATGTTTCTAGAGCATCTCAAAATCATCTTCTCTTACCCTATCATCAACAGAGAGCTTTTTGGATTTTAGGGTTTTATCAGATAATCCTTTCATTGGCAACTGGACAAACCTTACATCATTGTAAGTTACAAATATTTATTCAATTTTTAAAGACATTCTTTTTTAATTAGTTTTGCCTCATTTCTTCAACAGTGAGATATATATAGTTTGTTCTTTCTTGATTAGCCTGTGAAATATTTCTATAGGAGATTTGAAGGGAACTCCTTTGAAGGCCCTATACTATCCAGTTTTTCTAAATTAACCTCTCTAGATTCTCTGTAAGTAATTATTCACTTACATTTACACTCTCTCTACATGCATGATTCTGAAAGTATGTATAGTGGCTAACTTCTTCAATTCTTATATATAATCACGTAGGCGAATCAATGGTTTATCCAATGTGAGCTCTTCTGTTGATTTCATTTGAAAATTAAAGAATTTAACTGTGAGCTCCTCTCGATTTCATTAGAAATTTAACAAGGTTAACTGATTTGTAAGTAAAAACTCTTTAATCATGTACAGAAGCCTGTGTCTTCTTTTGTCTTTGTTGTGTTTGTTTTAGTAGTTAATTGACTAACAAACTTTACTCTTTTCCTTTGTTCTTTATTTACCCG